CTTAACCTAATTGTTTTTTTTTTTTAAATGCAAGAAAATGATTTTCAAAGTTCATGATTTATAATCTTTGATACTCAACTTTGAATGCTATGTATTTTTTTGAATGCTATGTATTTAATCGGGCTAATTATTTGACCAAAGTTTATGTTAAATTTTATATTGTATTTATTTTTAAAAATATATTTTAACATATTCGTAGTATATGTTCAACAATTATGCCAACTCTGCTTGGGATGAGGTTTGAACCTAAGACCTTTCTTATAGTAATTAATGAGTAAGTTAATAATATATAATAAATAGCTAATGGAATATTCTGTTATTAAGTTTATACTAACGAAATTCAGGGTTATTTAGGGAAGAAAATAATATATTAGAGGGTAAATAAAGAATTTTTAAAAAAATACTAAAATCAAAATAATATGTACCATTCATTTTAAAAAAATAATTACGCCAACATTTTTGTGTTGCAGTTAAGAGCCTAACATTATTGGTTCTTATTAGATTTGTATGTGGATGTAAATTGTAGGTATACTGTTTTGAACGTACAATTTCATAGGTTCATATGAGATTAGGTTGTAATTTGTACCAATTCCTAATATATATACTAGAGGTGTATCCCAATGGTAATCAATGTCTTCTCATAGGAAACTTTCTGGTTCACGTGCACCCAAGCTATCATCCTGGACAACTCTTTTGATGTCTAAAGGCAGCTTCTCAAACTCATTCCAATCATGGAGTGCATGATTAGCAAGAAGGTCTGCCACAATATTTTGTTTCGTACAATGGATGTTAGTAACCCAGATGTTCCAAGAAGCTTCGCATATACACATACGTTACGAGGGGGGAGGGGGGGAGTGATTTTGAAAATAAAGGTCCGTTTGGAAATTCAGAAAATGACTTCTGAAAAATGTTTTTCGAGTGTTCAGAGTTTGGATACAATAAGAAAATTCAATCAACAAAAAAATATTTTTCGCTGATTGAGAAAAATGTAGGCATTTTTACGAAAAATAACTTACACCAAATTTTGGCGTAAGTCATTTTCCGCAAAACACTAAAAATGTGGTTGTCTCCGCTGCCATCGTTGCCTTCGATTCCTCAGTTTCCATCCATTCTTATATTTTCCAGAATGTAACCAAACATGGGAAATGAAAATATTTTTCGAAAAATGAGTCATTTCCTGAAAAATATTTTTCAAAAGTTATTTTCCTGTTTTCCAAACGGACTCTAATTCTGAATAGGATGACTGTCAGGTTAGCCATAACCAGAGGAACAAGTCAATTTTTAGTTGAATTGCAAAATTTTGGATATTTTAGAGACCTAATTATAATTTTTTAGTTGGATGATCTAATTGCATTTACACCTGTAGTTCGGTGACTAGTTTGAACATTTTTCTTTTCATTTTTATATCCAATTTAATTAATGACACTATGATCTAAAATTATTTATGATTTATTTTTTTTATATTAATTAATTTAGATTTAATGAATAAAATTTATCTATTGGTGCCTTGTTTCAAGTTTGTAAATAAATTCATATATTTTCAATGAACAAAACAAGAAGGATCTGTCAAAATTCTCACCAGATTGGTGGTTTTATATAAACTAATAACAATGATAATAATACAAATTATATACTGAAAAACTAAATAATAATTAATACTTTCAAATGAGAATCTATGACACACATTATCTCTCTCCCTTTTTATTCTTACATGTACCTGCAAAACTCAAGGAAAAAACTCAACAAACTGAGAAGACTACTTAGGGTGTGTTTGGTTGGTTGGTTTTGCACATAGGAATGTGTATGAAAGTGATTGTTGTTGTTTGGTTGATGGATTTTTAGAACACTACTATGGGTTTCGAATACCCATCAATTGAAAAACTCATACCCAAATACAATAAGGGTTTCATTCCCTTGTTCATTCTCAAACACTACTAATAGTAACCATTCCCATTCCACCCTACTACCAAACATGTTAAATACTTTCACCAAAACCCATTACCATTACCAAGTATTTGATACCCATTCTGATTCCGATTCCTATGTGCGAACCAAACACACATTAGTTTTGTGCAATACTTTGATTTTTCCGATTTTATTTGTGTGTCTTTTCATAGGTTACTTGAATTCCGGAGGATATTTTGGTGAAAAAGGGAGCTTATTTATAATGGGGAAGAAGAGTTTTGATTCTTTTTTACGAATTTTCATCAGGAACCCAATGATTAGCGTGGCTTGATTTCATCTAACTTTTCTAATTTTTATGATAATACTTTGTAAATTTTCCCGTTATAAAGTGTATAAGTAGTGAGTCAATGGGTTTTTTTTTGTTTTTGTTTTTGTTTTTTTTTTTTTGGTCTTTTTGTTTTTTCATTGTACTCTCCCTATCCAGAACAAACACTCAAAACTCCAATCATGGTAGATATAAGTAATACTAGTTTTTTACGCGCATTGCGCGATTGGGATAATGCCCAATATTTTTTTTTTAAATAAGTACTTTAAAGTATATTAAGGCAAAATTATATTGAAATTGTTCATGCATAGATAATTGAAGGTTGAATTTGCGTATTTAAAAAGGTAATTCTTCTCCCAAAGGTTGAGTCCCCAATCCCAAGGGCCCCCCACACTCCGACCCGACAGAGCATTGTGGGAAGTTGTAAATCACGGTGACTCAATGGTTCAGCAAACAGAGCATTGTGGGAAGTTGTAAATCACGGTGACTCAATGGTTCAGCAAACAGGGCCAAATGCTGATACGCACAAGGAATCTGCCCACTTTGGACATAATTCCCGCATTGCCGCCGCCGAGGTTCAAACCTTGGTCTCTTCTCCCAAATACTACCCACTAAACCATTGAGCTAAGCCCGTGCGGGTTAAATAGGTAATTCTAAGTTTACAAATGCAATATAATATAGTCAATATTGATTATAATTGTCAATAAAATAATTGTATAGGTATGGTTGAAACCAAATACAAGACATAAGGGAGAACAAATAAAAATTAGGGCATAAAATATTAAATATATACTAATATTGTTTGAGGAGATTCCGACATTAGGATTTGTGGTTAAGTTCTATTAAGACTTTAATATTAGAATTAGATTAATGGTGTAGTTATAATTCTATATTAGACTTTAATATTAGAATTAGACTAACGGTGAATTAACGGAAAAGTTAAATGGATAATCATATAATTAAGGATAAATTAGAAAATCTTAAAAGAAAAAAATTAAAACCTGAACAATATGAACCATTCATTTGATTTAATAATTTGGCGGTCATTTTTTCTACCCAATGTTAATAATTAAATAAATTCGCTGGTCAAATCCGCTAGTATAATCCGCTAATGCTAACCGCTAACTGCTGATTGTCAAACAAGGACATTGCGAGGTAGTTCTCACTTCAATTTGTTGTGTGATTTGAATACTCTCTTTGTCACAAAATCTCTCAAGTAGTTAATATGGTTGGCTTTATTAATTATATTTTTTAATTTTTTCATGGTATTAATAAAATACTTGGTAAATAAATATATAGCATTATTTTATGTTATAACTTTGATATTTAATTAGAAAAATAGTGCACAAAAAAGATAATAGATAATGTAATGAATATAATCAATTGATGAATTTGAATGTAAAAATTTTTACATTTGAGAAAAATAAAGACAATATAACTAATGAAAATATTTATTTTAATTAATTTATTGATAATTAATAATTTGTTTTTCACTGAATAAAGACATTGTAAAGACAATGTAGCGAATATAATCAATTAATAAATTTGAATATAAAGAATTTTTATATTGAAGAAAAATAAAGACAATATAACTAATAAAATTATTTATCTTATTTAATTTATTGATAATGAATAATTTTTTTTTTGAATAAAGACATTGTGGACACATAATTCTAAATTAAAAAAATGCATATGTATTATTTTTTGTTGTAAATACTAACTTATTATTTATATAATTTAATAAGAGTAAAATAGAGTACTAATTATGCCAACTTTGATTGGGATGAGGTTAGAAGTTTAGAACCTAAGATCTTTTTTTATTGAAATCAATGAGTAAGTTAATGGTGAACTAACGACAATTCTTAAAATTTTAATGGAATTAGTAACGGTGTGTGGGTATTTTAGGAAATTTTAGTGTAAAATTTAAATCTGATAAATCTTTTAATCAATCTGAGCCATTCATTTGATTAAAATCTGTGACCGCCATTTTTTCTACTCATTATAGGCCTAACTCTCTTTGACTCTTATTAGTATAGTAGATAGTAGATATATTTTTAGAGTGATGAGGAAATCTGTAACATATAGCTAATAGTTTGTACGAGATAAATCCTACCTTATAATTTTAGTTGGTAAATAACAATAAAGAGGTAAACTAATTTTGGTTGTACATAGTTGATCGACTCAAACCAATATTAATAGCTAGGCTGCTCCCGCGGGGTTGAACTTTTATCCTTGTGGTAGTTACCAAGATAACAGCTTGTTCACATTAAATGCACAGTAAAGGGATGGGAACTTGGGGGTTTAGAATTAGTTGTATATCCTATAATTATTATATTTTTTTGGACATATATAATCTTTAGTTTTATTTTTATTTTACATAAAATATTTATAAAAAAATTGTGGAATTCAAGTATCTTGAAAGGGAGGGTGAGGGTTTTCCAAAAATAAGATATAGTTATTATAAAATGGGGGTAGGGAGAATAAAGATTTAGAGCTTGAGAAGAAAGATTATTAAAGCATAACTTTGATGTGAAAAATTTAATTAAAAAGATAAAGTGCCTAAAGGTGGGTGGGGGCAACCCTCATCTTCCTCCTCCCTCATTTGCTTTTTGGCTTCTTCTCTTTTTTGTCTTCTCATATATAAAACTTCCTCATCATATATCCCCTCCCCCCCTCCCTCTCCATATATACATATATACTCCCTTTCTCCTCATCTCCTTCCCCTTCTTTGGAACTTCTTCCTCTATCACAAGGTCTCTCTCTCCTCTCTCTCTCATATTAAGAAAAACTAACAAAATTTTCCAGAATATATATATAGTTTCTGACTGTTTTAGGGTTTTGTATGTGTTGCAGTGTTTTGTTGGTGGCCGGATTATTACGACGAAGCTGGTTGGTTACCCTTGTTTTGTCGGGTAAACGGCAGCTTAGTACGTGTGGACTAACAACGGAAATACTAATAACTAAGATTGATTGAGGAGAAGTTCCGTTCCAGGTTAGAGAAGATCAATAATATAATATAATGGCACCTGTTTCATTGCCCCCCGGCTTCCGCTTTCACCCCACCGACGAAGAGCTGGTGGCTTACTACCTGAAACGCAAGATCAACGGCCGCAAGATCGAGCTGGAGGTCATCCCCGAAGTTGATCTCTACAAATGTGAACCCTGGGATTTACCTGGTTAGTACCATACATATATACCCACCTTCATCTTCTTCAATTCCATTCTTTTTTATTTTTATTTTTTTATTTTTATTATTAATTTGGATTATATATGGAATGGAGAAAATGAATAATGATGCATAGACGACGTTCCAGGTTCCACCAAGCTCAGCAATATTTTCGGCTGTATACTTTAATTTAATTTTGATTAATTATGAAAGCGTTAAATTAGTTGAGATATAAGCTTCCATGCATTAATGTCTAAAACAAGCTAGTATAGCTAGGCTGGAGAATTATATTGGAAAGAGACCTACTACCTAAGATATTATTAATTCGAAGTGGGTTTCAAGAAAGGTATATGAAATACCTACTGTGTATACATATCTTATTTACTTCCCTTATTATTCTTTTTTCATTTTTATTTAATACTATATGATTGTCTGCATGTATTTATAAGGTTACAAGTTCGACTCCTCGTGATAGCAACCTATTGACCTTAACTTATTTATTTGAGCCCATTAGTTATGGATAACCTAAGCTGGTTTACCTGCTTGTAATCATTTACCGGCTAGGGTCACAAAACCAGTTTTACCCCGTGCACACAATTGGGATTTCTCCTTCAATTCATCCAAAAAAAGTTTCAATTTTACAAAATGATTTTTTTTTACTAAAGATAATAAGCTATATATGATTTGTATTAGATATCATCACTCTTTATTTATTTTTTTTTTAGGAATTATTATTAATAAAACGGAATTGGATCGAGTTGTATAAGATTTGATGTAAAAAAAAAATCGCATAAATATACACACCAAAACAATTAAGGAACCAACATGGCTAAAGGTGCTTCTCTTTCTATATATATACACACACATGTATAATTATTCTGAGTTATTATTTACATATTATTGAACATTTGAATGTGCTTTATTTTTAAATTTAAAAGTTTTGTTGAGTACTGGAGAATGGATAATTTATAATTAATAATTTGTATTTTAAATTCTCTATGCGAACGCGTGGTGATTAGATATTCTGATCATGGTTATCATATACTTTGAACACACTTTAATCAGTCAAAAATCATATGCTTTAGTCCCCAACAAATACAAAATAATACAGTAATATTAATAAAAAGAAATTGATTTGATATTGGCTCTGTTTGGCAAACCTAGCTGAAAAGCTATAAGCTAGGAGCTGATAGCTGAAAAGGAGCTGAAAGCTGAAAAGCTATAAGTTCGGAGCTGAAAATTGAAGAGTTGTTAAGCTAGCTGTTATGATTGAAAGTGTTTGGTAAAATTAGCTTTTTGATAAGCTGATAAATGTAAAAAGACTAAAAAGGACATCTTCATAAAATTTAAATTAGTTTGTTTACATATTAAAATTTAACATTTCGTCTTCCAAAAAAAAAAGTAAACACTTTTTAAAATAACACTATTAGCATGATCATGATCTAGCATCCCATAATGAAGTAGCAATATTGTTGTGAATCTCCTTCATCTCCATAGAGGTGTGACTTAAATTTTTGTTGATGGAGATATTACTACTTGAATCTTGAAGTTCATCAGGCGGTATGTAATCTGGATGCTGCTCAAGCACATTAAACATCATATCATATTGTGAATTCTTCCGAATATAATTATGTAGTGCAAATGTGGCCATATTGCTAATTTAATAATAATAATAATAATAATAATAATAATAATAATAATAATAATAATAATAATAATAATAATAATAAGCTAAAGTTTCAACATAATTGTTTAGCAGGAAACAAGACTAAGGAAGGGATTGACGTGAAAATTGGGATAGGAGAAGAGAAAGGATTTTAATTCATAAGGTTAAAATATGTCATTACTTTAAAATAATAAGGGTAAAGATGGAAAAAAAGTTAGGAAGCTAGTAGCTTATTTTGAAACGCTACCTAAAGTAGCGTTTCAAAATAAGCTCTTATTTTAAGCTAGGAGCTTATTTTGGAAACATTACCAAACAGAGCTTATAGCTTATTAGTAGCTTAAAATAAGCTATAAGCTCCTAGCTTAGCGTTGCCAAACAGAGCCATTGTGTCTGTAGCAATAAAGGAAGTTTGCAGGATGGTCCCTACAATCTTTTAATCTCCTATTTGAAGCCTAGAAAAGATGTGTACTTACACAAGATACTCCAAGTCAAAAAGCAAGAAGAAAGAGCATGATTACATTGTCAGCTTCCAGATATTTATATATCTTTATATCTCTTTACTCCATTTCAAGTCACAAGCCTTCCCTATTCCCTATTATGTACACTCATCATCATCCACTTTTCCTTTCATCAAATATCACATTTCAATTCCCCCCTTTTCTTTTACTGTACAATATTATTATTATTATTATTGTTATAATTACAAGATATTATGTTCTTTAATTAATGTTTTTTCCATTTCATTTTGCAGGGAAGTCATTGTTGCCTAGCAAAGATTTAGAATGGTATTTCTTTAGTCCTCGAGACCGGAAGTATCCGAATGGGTCAAGGACTAATCGGGCAACGAAAGCTGGATACTGGAAGGCCACTGGAAAGGATAGGAAAGTAAATTCACAAATGAGGTCGGTTGGGATGAAGAAAACCCTAGTGTATTATAGAGGGAGAGCACCCCATGGAGCTCGAACTGATTGGGTCATGCATGAATATCGCTTAGATGAAAGGGAATGTGAAATTCAAAACGGCTTGCAGGTAAAAAACAAACACACTATGCATGTATATGTTACATAGATGTGCAATCTAACTATCAGTTTAGACTTTTGGTGATATAATATAATGAATAATATGATGTATGAAATGTGCAGGATGCATATGCACTTTGCCGGGTATTCAAGAAGAGTTTGACGAATACCGGTCCTAAAATCGGCGATCATTATGTTAGTGCGACGAGTGATAGGTCATCCAGCATGGACATTTACTCTGAGGGAAGGTGTGAGGAGATGGAGAGCTCTAACTACGCAATGGCGGCGCCGCCGTCGGCAGCGGCAGCTTCATGCTCATCCATGGCGGCCGCCGCCGTCCATGGATCTCCGTTTCATCATCATGTCGCTGCAGCAGGCCCAAGCACCAATGACGATAAATGGATGCACTACTTATCAGATGAAGCATTTAGCTTCCACACCCCACCTCCCTCCTCCCTTCCAAACTATGCAACCATGCCTTATCCACCTTCAAAGGTACCTACCATCCACCCCTCATGTGTGTGGACCGATTACTTTTTTATAGACTTTAAAAAAATACATCTGATAACAAATTAAAGCATGTGTTTCAATCTCAACTAAAAGTCTAAGCTGATAGTTAAACTATATCATTTGTTTCAGGTTGATATAGCATTGGAGTGTGCCAGGTTGCAGCACCGCTTCATGTTACCGCAGCTGGAGGTCCAAGATTTCCCCCATGTCGTTAGCCATGTTGATTCGAGGATGATGATGCCCCATCATCATCATCAATCAAGCTTCATTAACCACGACAACAACCCGGACATTGTTCAGGAAATCCTTTCGGTTGCACAAGCGTCGCAGGATCTGATGAACCAAGACGGTTGGGGTGGAGGCGGCGGCTATGCTCCAACTGCCGCCGCAGATGATGATTTTTCTTTCCTCCTCCCTCACAATGCTAGCCAGTTTCAAGACATGGGTAACTTCAGATTCATGGATCAGTTGAGAGAAGACCAGAACGGCGGCAGGAACATTGAGATTACAGATTTCGCAGATGAATTCAAGCCGGATAGAATGGTGGAGAACCTAAGATGGGTAGGAATGTCCGACAAAGACCTTGAAAAGGTAAATATATAATAATCTGGCAATCCTTGACCAATAACAATGTCACAATCTATCTAGCTATAATATATATAATAATGTGTTGTATTGATTTAGGTTTTTGTTTATGTTTAAGCAGACACTTTTGGAGGACTACAAGGCAGTTCCAATAGAAAATGTTTCAGGCTTCAATAGAGAAGGGCATGAGGATCATGGTATAACAGAAATGTTCTAAAGTACTATATTATTTCCTCCATTCTCTTCTCTTTTTCTTTTATCCCCCAAGCACCCCCCAGCCCACCATATTCAAATCCCTGACATATAATCTGATACCACTTGTTAGTGTCACATTAAACTTTTATTATGCATGTCAAAATCAAAACTATAACTAACTAGTAGCGAAGACGAATTGAAAGATCTGAACTTGACCTTTTAACAGACCTCTGTCCAACACTTTTCAGACCAGTTTTTTGTTTGTAGTTATTGACAACCTAACCTAGTTTAATTTGCAGGAGAAAGCAGCCAACACAACAACTTGAGTGACATCAACGACGACTTCTCCCTGGGATTCGACAACAACAACAATTTCTTGTCGGATGGCGGGGGCGATTTCTCGGATTCCCCGAGCTTCGAGGTTTACGAGAAAGTGGAAGTGAAGCACGGGATGTTCATCGCGAGCAGACAGGCAGCGAAGACACTGTACCATCAAGTGGTCCCTTCCACCACCGTCAGAATCCACCGAAACCTCCTCGTACCCACCTTTCCAGTATCAAAATTTGAAGCTAACATTGTGGTGGACAATAAGTTCATGGCATTTTCAAGAAAGATGTTGATCGGAGTGATGAAGTTCACTCGGCCATGGCGGAGAATGGTGAGCACCCTAGTGGGGGTCATCGCCATTATTCTCCACACCTGTTGGGTTTACTTTGTGGAATTATTCATGGAGGCCCAGGAGAAGAACTACTACTACTGCTGCAATTTCTCAGGGGAGAAGAAATCTGGAGATTATGATGAGTGGGAGATCAATTTCAAGAAAAACAAAGATTCATCAATTGCAGACAAGAATCCCAGAATGACGAGGAGAGTGGACGACAAGACCACTACAGCAGCACCATGGCCATATCTCACTCTCGTGTTGGCTCTTTCTACCATTTGGCTGCACCAAAATGTTACTTTCTTTTGATTTTTATTTATTTATTTATTTATTTTTTTGAATTACTAACCTCATTTGTTTGTTAATTAGGAGATCGAGGCCTAACTTAGCCTTGCCCTAAATTAAATTGATATATGATGATGTAATACCAAAGTGTTTTAATTTCTTACACATATATAGTTGGGAGTTGATTGGTATACAACACAATATACTGTATGTAAATTTTATTTTATTATTTGAGTCAAGTCAACTTTAATATAATGTTTAATTATCTATTTCTTATTAATTATTTCATTTTATTCAATTGGGAGACTGTATATGCATGTGAGTCTGACTTGGATAACAGTACAAATCTTAATGGACATTTATTTCCAAATTAAAATAAATAAATAAATAAATAAATAAATAAATAAATAAATAAATATATATATATATATATATATATATATATATATATATATATCAACCACTTTAGTGATTCAACTAGTACAGTAGGTGTACCCACGCGATGCGCGGCTATATATAGTATGATATATATACAGTATAGAAAATAGAGTATTTGAACCAGAAAAATTTTGAAATGAAAAACTTGTAATTTTATTACACATGTATGAATTTAGTAATTTTATTAGACATTATTGAAGACTTCATTGTTGAAACAATGTGATGCATGGCTACCTATATAGTACATAGAATATTACGTATAATATAATAAGAATAAGAAACATAATATTTTTAAAAATACTAAATTTTAAATAATAAATTGTGGAATGTTATTATACATTATTGAAGGCTTCGTTGTACACAACATTTTTAGTCGTACTAAGACATGGTACATTTTCCCCGCAAATCAAAATTTTCAAACCCCTGGGGTTACTAACTCTTGAAACAGCTACGTACAATTGCCCATGGTTAAAGACAGGTTTTTTCAACAACTCCACTTTAGCAAGCGTTTGTCCTTGACTTTTGTTGATTGTCATGACATAGGATAACATCAAAGGGAATTGCTTTTGTTGAAATTTGAAAGGCAATCTTGGATCTGACGGTGTAAGTGACATTCTAGGAATCAATACTCCGGTTCCTGCATTTGTACCGCACATGATCTGGCCTTCCAGCACGTGGTCAGCTAACCTTGTAACAATCAACCTTGTACCGTTGCATAATCCTAGTGTGTGATCAATATTTCGCAATAGCATAACAGGTGATCCAACTTTCAAAGTCAAAGCATGATTTGGTACTCCAGAACATCTCAAGGCATTCAAGAATTCCGGAGTGTGCAAATTCGCTAACATGTCAACATTTGAATCTGACTTACACACAGAATCACAACTCAAGTATGTCTTACCCTCAACCGGATTATGATCATTCATGTATTGGTTAACGGCATCTACCACATCCAATGTTGGAGCTAAAATTGCACTATCATTAAGATATGACAAATTGCCAATTCCCAGTCTAAAATTAGGGAATGTGCTATCAACAATTGTAGCAATAGGGTCATCCTCGCACTTCAACAACAAATGTTCTGGAACAGTAATCTCGGACTCACCATCACGTTGACTACCAATTGTTCCGTCACCTATATTAGCTATCCATTTTGCAAATTCCTCAATCTCCTTACCCTCGTTTTCTGATTGAACACTTCTCAATCGTAGATTCTTAGTCAGCCTAAAAACTTTACAGAATTTCCAGAGATATGATGAGCTAATGCTTGCTCGAACTATATCCTGTCTGGTACCCTTTGGAATTACTGGTAAAATTTGCCTGAAATCGCCACCAAAAACAACTGTTTTACCACCAAATGTCATATCATAACTCCTTGGATTTATGAAGCGCAACAGATCCCGCATAGTTCGGTCTAGGGCTTCAAAACAGAATTTGTGCATCATTGGAGCTTCATCCCATATTATCAACTTGGTTTGCACAAGGAGCTCTGCCAGTTGACTGCCGTGACTTATGTTGCATGTGGAATCTTCATTAACAGATATCGGTATAGCAAATCGAGAATGTGCAGTCCTCCCACCAGGTAATAAAAGCGAAGACATGCCGCTAGAGGCAACATTTAACACTATTTCACTCTTAAACCTTAATGCGGAAGACAGTGCTCGCCACAAAAAAGTCTTACCGGTCCCTCCATAACCATAAACGAAGAATAACCCCCCATCTTGGCAATCAATATCAGTTAAAACTTCATTGTATATGACATTTTGTTCTTCTATTAATTGCCTTACCAATTCCTGATTCTCTTTCTCCTGTTCGCCACAGTCGTATGCTGATTCTTCTTGAATAAACCTATTTGCAATAACGTTTAAGGCCCCAAAATTTGCCGTAGGCATTTCAGGATAGTCTTTCAAACTCTTACCATGAGTAGATAATAGCTTCTCAATCTCTACTAAGGCAAAGTTCGTCTTGTGCGAATCGGTCAACACAAAATCTGCATACGTTTATATAAAAATTTGGTGTTATAAGATACCTACGTTAAACTTGACTTAATATTGTGTTATCAGTATTAATAAAATAAATTGTAAAATGTATGATTACCTCTATTCTGCAGTTGTCTACGGACGTTGAATTGTGCATCATCTGATAAATGTTGCCACACAGCATACCAAACTATTTCCGGTTTACCCATGCAACTGCTCATTAGCAATGTCACAAACAATCTCCTCAGTTGATATGCTGACGCCCAATAGATTGCCAAAACGGCGTTGCACGGCCATGATATTATGATGCAATATATAAAAGATTGCTATATTGAAGATATAGGATCAATAGCGTGTTAGATGTATTAAACGATAAAATATATTTTATTGACGTTCCATAAACAAAACAATTACACATTATTAAATATGCATTTTAATTTACCTATACTATTGTTTAAAATATGCATTTACTATTTATTATGTGGAATATTACTATTGAAATATTTCCATCTAATTTTAGTTTCCGTTCCATTTTTAATTAAAATGCAATGATCTAACCATTTATTTTTTCATATTAGTCAATTATGAATCATTTTTATTTGTAGTCAACTATTAATATTCATCTTCTTTTATATTTTCAGTCAATTACTAATATCATATTCATTTTTAGTCAATTATTCTTTTTTATTTTCAGTCAATTAGCTAATTACAATATTAGATGCATTGATATTTTTACTCAATTTTTGTTCCATTTTTAATTGATGATGTAAAATATTACTATTGAAATATTTTTGTTTATTTTTAATTTTTGAAAAATTTTTAATTTACCTTTACTATTATTTTATTATTGATGATGCAGAATATTATTATTGAAATATTTCCTTTTCATTTTTAATTTACCTTTATTTTATGATGTAAAATATTATTATTGAAATATTTCCGTTCTATTTTTAATTTTCGTTCAATTGTTTTAAATTGTGAAAGATTTATGACATATTTTATTTATATTGAATAGATGTAAAGAATATTGATGACCAAAATTATTCCTATGTTCGTTGTGAAGATCGTGGCGTGTATGATCTTCCAATGTGTTGTAGGTCAAAGAGGATTATATTTGAACTATTGTCTCTAACTTGCAAACAGAATCACAACTCAAATATGTTATTGCTGAGGCTTGATTCATACCGTTCATGTATTCATTCACCTCGTCGACAACATCTAACGTTGGAGCCAGAATCGCTCTACTCTCAAGTTGTCTTGCATCCATCTTTCCAGAATGGTATTCAGGAAATGTGCTGTCAACAATTTGTCTAATGGGATCGCCCTCATTTCCCAATACAAAGGAAGATGGTATCATTATATTGCAATCAACACCATTGTCTTCCCCAAGTTTTCCATCACCTAAATCTGCAATCCACTTGGCAAAACTATCTAACTTCTCAACCTCCACTTCATTACTAATACTTCGTAAATTCTTCGTTTGCCTATTCCACCATAACCATAAACGAAATACATGCCACCCTTCTTCGTTTCGATGTCAGCAATCACCTTATCGTAGATGACTAACTGTTCATCAGTTAGTTTCTCAAGCAAAAAATTAGTCAATTACTCAATTATATTATCATATGCAGTGATATTTGTACCTAATTTGTGTTTCATTTTTAATTGTTGATGTATAATATTATTATTGAAATATTTTCGTTTCATTTTTAATTTACATATACTATTGTTTAAAATATGCATTTACTATTTATTATGTAGAATATTACTATTGAAATATTTCCGTCCAATTTTAGTTTCCATTCCATTTTTAATTAAAATGCAATGATCTAACCATTTATTTTTTCATTTTAGTCAATTATGGATCATTTTTATTTGTAGTCAACTATTAATATTCATTTATTTTTATATTTTTAGTCAATTACTAATATCATATTATTTTTAGTCAATTATTCTTTTTTATTTTCAGTCAATTAGCTAATTAGAATATCAGATGTAGTGATATTTTTACTCAATTTTTTTTCCATTTTTAATTGATGATGTAGAATATTATTATTGAAATATTTTCGTTTATTTTTTATTTTCGACAAATTTTTAATTTACCTTTACTATTATTTTAAATACGCCTTTATTATTGATGATATAGAATATTATTATTGAAATATTTCCTTTTCATTTTTAATTTACCTTTATTTTACGATGTAAAATATTATTATTGAAATATTTTCGTTCCATTTTTAATTTTCGTTCAATTGTTTAAAATTGGGAAAGATTTATGACATAATTGTGATTTAATGTATTATACTGTGTAATATTATTGTGAAAAATTAAAATGCAATGATCTAACCATTTCTTTTTTTTATTTTAGTCAATTATGGAATATTTTTTTTATTTTCAGTCAATTATTAATTATCATTTCCCTTTTCAATTAATCTAATTTCAGTTCATTTTTCCATTTTCCATTTTCAGACAATTATTAATATTCATTTCTTTTATAAATTAACCTAATTTTTATTCTATTTTTAGTTGATGATGAAAGATATTATTGTGAAATATTTTTGTTTCATTCCTCTACTATTTATTATTATCTGGGCGGGAAATCAAGTAAATATGATTTTATTTTTAATTATAGTATAGATATAGATTATGCTAAGGGAAAATTGTAAAAAATGTCGCTCTATATTATGTCAATTATCAATGTCACCCCTGAATTATGAGTGGCGTAAATGTTGTCCCTCAATTATCAAAACAGTGCACATATATTTTGTTTTTAATTATAGTATAGATATAGATTATGCTAATTATGATGTTTGTTTAACTATGGACGTAATATGTGTATGATTAATTTTCTTTAATTATGTCGATAATGTGTACCATTACTTTCCTTATTTGATTTAGATAAAATTTATATTATGACTATAAAAAATATATTAATAAAAGTATAATGTGTGAATTAATTTATTAATTACCATAATTATTATGATTTTATTCGAAAATAACCATTATCATAATATACTTCTCAACTTGAATTTTAACTTTGCTATTTTTTCTTGATTCTTAATTCTTCTCAATAGTTCAAATATAATTCTCTTTGACCTACAGCACATTGACCTACAACACATGGGAAGATCATACAACTTCATAAATTCAGAGGTAGATCGATCCTGAAAAATTACATAATTGAAACATTTGAATTGTAGGTACCATTACTACGAACAAAAAAACACTCTAGGTAACGAAAATGTAAGAACTCCAAGAAATGATTGTCATTGCATTTATACACGCCACGATCTTCACAACGAACATAGGAATAATTTTAGTCATCAATATTCTTTACATCTATTCAATATAAATAAAATGTATTTACTAATATAAATAAAATAACATACAATTTTCAATTTACATTTTTACTATAAACCGAACAAAAAGTAAAAAAAAAAAATAAATCATACTGCAAAATAATTTAGAATACAATTTAATAAATTAAATAAATAATCACCCAATAATTTTGGGCCAACATAAACATGTATCCTATGTTATAAAAACTCTGAATTGTTTATTTAACAAAAAAAAAATTGAATTGTTTATTTTAAAAAAAAATCAGCCCATTTATTAAACAATTATACACACACAGACATGGGTAACAATCAGTCCATTTATCATCCTACCAATCCAAAATGCTAACCACAAGCCCAAATCAGGGTCCCACGGCCCATATATAAAAGATCTAAAAAACCTCGTTTCTGGAAACTTCACCAGAAACAAATTGCTCAACCTATAATCTCTACTCATCTCTCTCGATCTCCTTTTTTTCGCCTATTCATTGACTAACTAATTACTTCTCAGCACTGATTTAACCGACTCACAACTCATTCATTACCCACAGATTCCGGCGTGGGCACTGCGTTTCTTCGTTAGATTCCGGCACTGGCACTGCGGTTATTCGTCAGATTCCGGCGTTAGCGCTGCGGTTCCTCGTCGTGCGGAAACCAACAATGAGGAGACGGAAAACCGCAACTTTCCCGCAGTGCGTTTGGCGGTGTAGATTTGCAGTCAGCGAAATATTCTGGTAGCCGCAGGTAAAACTACAGTTTTCTAATTTTGCATTTAATGTGTATAAAATTGTTTTGACAGATGTCTTTATTTTGATTTTAAGAAGATTTTACACATGCAACGATTTTCATATCTACAAATTTAAGAGTATATCAACAAATAGTTAGCTCCGAAGCAATTTTTTTAAAGATCTGTTCTGTGCAATATTGTTGTTAATGTGCGGTTTTTATACATTTTTTATTTTTATATGCATGTATTTTATCGGATAAATTAGGGTATACTGTATAGATTTAACATCCATTGTGTTCAATTTATATGTCAGATTTTTTCAGGTTTATTTGAGTTCAAATGCAATTAAAATTTTAAAATTGTTTATTTAACTATTGAGAAAAAATATGACTTCATTAGTTTACACATAAATGTACTTAATATCTTTCAGTTATGATGTGAAATTTTTTTCAATTACTATTATCAATAAATATTTTTAAAAAATATAATAACAGAACATGTATAAAATAGGTTTCCAGTGATTTAATTTTTTTTCTGTGTGTTTTTTCATTTACCTCAACATTAGAATCTAAACATTTAAATGCAGAAGGTTCTAATATGTATGTGTTTTTTCATTCTTCTCAATCACCTGTAATATGTATGCAACAGGTTCTAATAGCAGTAGCCTCGCATCGCGCGCGGGTGCACCTACTAGTAATAATAATAATAATCTATGAACCAAACACCCTAAAACAACATTTTCTTTCCAAAAAATATGTTCAAGGTAAAACTTTCCCATTCAATTATTCCAAATTAATTACCAAAATGATCATGTGACTATAATAAAATTACCAATTTAGTCATTGACTATTTTTTTTTGACTAATTAAGTCCTTCAACGTTTAAAATTTTAACCAATTTGATCATCCGTTTGTTTTGCCGTTAGACATTTGTTAACTTATGACCAAATTAATAATTTTGTTGTAGTCAAGGGACCATTTTAATAAAACTTTTCGGAAGAAATGGTACATGCGATGACTGAAATGGTCCCTTGACTATAGTAAAATTATCAATTTGGTCCCGAGTTAATAGATGTCTAAAGGCAAAACAAACGGATGACCAAATTGATTGAGGAGTTTTTTTTTTTTTTTTTTTTTTTTTTTTTTTTTTTTTTTGTCTCGAGTTAATAGATGGCTAACGGCAAAACAAACAGAGAATCAAATTGATTGAAGAGCTTTTTTACAATGTAGTATATGAGCCAAGTGTTGAACCCACCACCTCCCCTATAAGAGAACAATTTGGTGCCATTGAATCACAAATTATTGTACACTAAAAGTATTAATTGATAAAAAAAAATAGTCAATAACCAAATTTATAATTTTATTATAATCAATGAAACATTTCCATAATTAACTCAATTATTCCCGTTGTCTTCCTCAGCTTTCCCTAATTCTCCATTTCCCCCCTAAAATTTCTAAATCCCTAAAATAATTCATAACAATCCAACGCCGTCCCTTCACCGCTTCACGCACATCGCAAAATTGCACCCGTGCTCGACGCTCACTGTCTTTCCTCGACGGCCTCTGGGCAGAACCGGCGACCCACAGTCACGTCTGGGCAGGTAAATCAGTTTTACTTATTGCCTTTTAATTTAATTTCTTTGTTTCTAAGTGATATAAAATATAAATGATTAAATCATGTCACATTGTATGTTGAATTGTTGATTTCTTATTTTCTTGGGAAATTATCCAGTTGCTTTCATATTCTGGTTATCACTGTCTAGATAAGGTTTTGCTTTGGTTGAGATCTTTTAGCTGTCTTTAATGTTTATGATACTGTTGCTTTACTTGTATGTTGTAAGTCTATGAGCCATGTTTTGGAATTGGAAGTTTTGGATTTTAATTTATGGTATTCTGTTGTGTGGGTGAACTTGAATTGGCTGATAAAGATTGCAGCTTTTTTGCTCAAAAGTCTGATGTGTAGAAAATTTTGTGCAGTGACTGTTCTGTGTTGTGGTTTCCTGTTGAGGACAAGTCTGAATCTTTAAGTTGATATTCTAGAGATTTGTAGGGATTTCAAGTGAATTGTATAAAAGTGTAAAACTCCAAACATGTAGGCAGTGCCAAGTTTTTGTACGCTAAGGGCATTCGGGTGCTGATAGAAGCTTCGGTTTCCCTGCAAAAATGGTTAAAAAATGGTTCGAAACATTCAGCCCAGCTTCACTTAGGAAATCAGCTCACATGTGGTTACAAATCATGTACAAAACGGGTGGAGGGCGACCCAAGAAGAAGATTTACCATAGAGTTCATGAGCTGGA